TAGTTTGAATAAGACAAAATTATATTTTGTCTATCATCTCTGTGCTATTAAACAGTTTTAAAATCTGAATTATTAATTAAATCCTGTGAACTAGTATCATTTTGGAATGACTGTGTTTTGATAGCTACCAGGACTGTATGACTTTTGAGAGATGTTGATTTCCTTTTGTGTCAACTATTAGATACCTTCTTGTAATCATAAAAGGCATGAAGAAATTATGTTACAAGCAGATCCTATATAAGTGGAAGTGAACACAGAATATATTAAAATATCAGCCATCTTATCAACAATATGTTATAATGGCTTCTGATTAGCACTGAGAACATGATTGATGTTACTGGGAGTATGACACACTGACAGTGTGGCATTGAGAAAATTCAATCCAAAGCATAGAATCATTCAAATTCTCATTACTCCTTTGTGACAGTTTTTGTTTTTGTGACCATTAAAAAGTAATGACAATTTAATGGGACCTTTCAATAATGATAATAGGAAAAACATTTTTTAAATGCTCACCTGTTGTTACAACTAGAAATAGAAATGATACAATATATTGATTTTTGGTTTTAAAAAGCATTTGTTAACTTGATTCTTACTGAGTCACTTAAAATTATGCAAACGCAAGTCATAAAGAACTTCTAAGTCAAAGCAGTAGTTCACGGCAATAGTACCAACATATGTAGGTTGATTTAGCTTTTCCAAGGCCAAGGAAAAAAAGACATGTATTTGATTAAAAATCTTCTCTAAGAAACAGACAAGGCATGCCAGGTCTTCAATTAGTGTAAAGTTAATAACTGGTAATCAAGAGCAGGTGGGGGAAGAGAAGGGGTTGGAGCTGGGGATTAGTAGAGTTTATATTGGCCAAATATTTGTATCATTAAAAGTTGAGTATATATAAGAATTTATATATCAGATGTAATCCATCTATTTCATTTAGCTCTTACTTGCCATGGATACAGAGCAAATGTACAAAAAAAAATTCTTTACTTGGGAAACAGCTGAATAGCATGGATGCTTCAAATTGAAACATTCAACTACAAAAACTTTTATCAGAACCAAAATAGATTATTTGACTTGTGTTTGCAAATTCATTCATCTGAACTTTGTATCAGGATGATGAAACTACAGTGGCATGACCTGATCAGTTGGTATGTCATAATCATAATAACTACCACATGTTGATCATCTCCTCTATAATAGGCTGTGAGTTAGATACTTTAAATTCCTTATTTTATTTAATCCCTGTAACAACCCTGATAAGTAGGTTTATGTATTACATTTTTCCCCTTCCTCAGTGATTTATCCAACACTTTCCCATCCACTTTACTGAGAAATTTAGAACCACCATGAAAAATGTTCTCATCTAATCAGCAAATAACCCTACTATCTATCTTGTATCAGTAATTAATATCTTTTTTCTTGATTCCTCCGTCCTTACAAAGGTCAGTGCTTCCATAGAGGCTCTGATTTCTACCCTTCTGACTTTTCATGAACTTCACCGTAATCTGTGTCTTAGAATCATCAGTCTCTTTCTTTGCCTAATTGTTTATATCATTATAGCACCCCTGCCCTCCAAACTCTTCCCTGTGCTTGGAATCTTACCACTCATTCATAGCCAACTCTAAAGAGTTTGCACACCTGTGATCCCCATGTTCTTATCTACTAGCTACTACTATTCACCCCTCAATTCACTTTAGACTCTTCTCCATACTTTTACTTAAATTTCTCTAATCAAGATACATATGACCTTCATGTTGCCTAATACATTTTTCTGTCCACATCTTATTCCATGTCTTAAATTCTGCTTTCTGCCTACTTTTCCTTATTCCCTCTTTCTCCATCTCTGCTTCTTTCCTTCCCTCTCCTTCCTTCCTTCTTTCCTTTCTCTGTAGTTCTCTACCTCTAAATTTAGAGTTTGATTCTAGATGACTATCTACCAAATTGCTCTTGCCAAAAATTTGAGTGTCATCCCATGGGGATTACATGCATTCCTATGGCTTTAAATACTATATGTAAGCTGATAAATTTCATTCTCATAAATTTGGACCTTGCCTCTCCTCTGAATTTGGCCCTCATATGTTTTATAGCTTACATGACATCATCACTTAGATAACTCATGGATAAGACACAATAATCAAAACAGAAGCCTTTAATCTCTCTAAATCATACCGATAATTTATTTCAATCTTACTACAATAAAGTTGTTAACAATAAACAAAAAGGCACACACAGTTTATAATCTTTATAATATTTTTAAAAATAAAGAGAGGTGTAAGTAAAGATCTAATAATCTCTACTTTCATATCTTTCATTCATTCCCTTGAGATAACCAAGGTGAATATTATAAATATAAATATTCTGTAATTTTCTCTATACCAGTAAAGAGATGCTCATATTTAGGTTTTTATTTTTTTCTTTCACAATGGGATAATGTCATAACAATAGTTAGCACTTTTTTAACTTAATAGTATAACTCAGTTAATAGTATAACTCACTTTCCAAGAACTTTCCACATTAGTCCTTTATATTTAATACATACTTTCCAATCATGGATGGCATTCCATTCTATGAATATTGCAGATATTTTTCAACTTTTGCACTGATTTATTATTCACTTGTTTCTGGGTGTTCCCTTTGTACTTCTAATATAATTACATTGTAATATAATAACCCCAAATGTTTAATGACTACAGTTTCTCATTGACCCTTACCCACTATGTGGTTAAGCACCCATGAACAGTGCTTTCTTTCAATATTATGAAACTTCCTTGCTGTTTTCTACATCTAGGCTTTTATTTTTATTTTTTTTTAATTTTTTTTTAATGTTTTATTTATTTCCAGGAGAGAGAGACAGCGTGAGCAGGGGAGGGTCAGAGAGAGAAGGAGTCACAGACTGAAACAGGCTCCAGGCTCTGAGCCGGCAGCCAGCACAGAGCCCGACGCGGGGCCCGAACCCACGAACCGTGAGATCATGACCCAAGCGAAAGTCGGACGCCTAACCGACTAAGCCACCCAGGCGCCCCTGTATCTAGTTTTTAACAGTCCCTGAATTTTCTTCTCCTTTTCCCTTATCAGCACCCTAGACACACTTGAGCACTTTTCAGTTTCTCAAAGGAACAGGACTTCTCCTAATGGAAGGGCAGTTATCTTACCTTATTTCCTNGCTGGCAGTCAGCACAGAGCCCGACGCGGGGCCCGAACCCACGAACCGTGAGATCATGACCTAAGCAAAAGTCGGACGCTTAACCGACTAAGCCACCCAGGCGCCCCTTCTACATCTAGGCTTTTAAACCCATTTTTCTTTCTGCAAGGAAGATTTTCCCTTCTCCATATCACCATTGCATGACTGTATCTTTCTCAGCCATCAGATCTGAATTCTGTTCTTTTCAGTTACAAGATAGATCAGTTGAATAAAAGATTAAACTGCCGGGGAACCTGGGTGGCTTAGTCGGTTTAGTGTCTGACTTCCACTCAGGTCATGATCTCAGTTCAAGAGTTTGAGCCCTGCATTGGGCTCTGTACTGACAGCTCAGAACCTGGAGCTTGCTTCGGATTCTCTGTCTCCCTCTCTCTCTGCCTGTCTGCTGTTTGCACTATGTCTCTCTTTTTCTTTCAAAAATAAATAAACATTAAAATTTTTTTTTTTAAAAAAAGCAAGGTTAAACTGCTATAATACAGAGACCCCAAAATAAATACCTCAGACAAGATAGGAGTTTACTTAGCTCTCTGTAATGTTCCAGATCAGCTGTGGTTCTACTCCATGCAGTTACTCAAGTACCGGGATAATGGCAGCTCTTTCAACTTCAACAAGATCTTTCATGTCATTGGCAGTCTAGGTGCTGGTGGGATGGGGGAACATAAAACTGTGGAGATTTCCTTTCACACATAATAGGTAGAAGTTTCACTCATTTCTCCTTACCACATGAATTGCAAAGATGTTTGAGAAATGTATTCTCTGGTTGGAAGAGTGTATTTGATCTACAAAGGCATTATTATGGAAGAAGGGAGAATGCATTTTTATAGATAACCAGTGGTCTCCACACCATAATAATTATCACAGTTCATAAATGACACATCTGTTGCTTTGTTTTTTAACTTGTGTTCTAATTTTCCTCTTAGATAATAAGCACAATAAGGGCAGGATACATGCCTGATTTATTTACTAATACATCTTTTTTCCTTAATACGCTTTCTGTGTTTCAGTAGGGGTTCAAAACAAACTGGTTAAAAGACTAAATGATGTGTAAAGGGATTTTACAGGTGAAAAAACTAAGTTTCAGAGAAGTTCAGCAATTTATTCATTCCTGGAGGCTGAATGTCCATTTTCCAGGAATGTTGAAAGATTTGTATCCCCTATGGATGGCTTAGCAAGATAACTAGTTAGCTTTCTTCTAACAGTGAATTTCTATGATTCTTTGATGGTGTAGGAAATTACAGCACTCCAAACAAGATCATGATGCTACTTTTTGAAGAAGTAGAACAAGAAAATTAGAAAATATGCCTTCTTTCTCATTGGTTCAGTCACATTGAACTCTTTCTCTCACTCTATTCCATCCTAAATTCTCAAGGACTCCATCTGCACATCAAATACCAACCATTAACCTAAGATGCCACAAGACTACAGCAAACTTGATGCATATGCATGTATATATATTTTTTTTATCACACCTTCTCTGGGCAAGGAAAGTAAATATTTGCTGGGTTTTAAAGATTTCCTCCTGGGCTACAGGCTGCCTGGGAGAATAAAAGTAGGTAATGTTAATAAATGCTTTCATCACATTCTCTGTTTAATTGTATGAAAAAGAAGAGAAGAAAAACATAATAATAATAATAGGGGTAGAGATAATAATCAGGGTAGATAAACTGATCATCAACTAAATCCACTGGTGTCAGCCAAGTATGTGTGTCTATTACTGTTAAGAATAAAAAAAAGTTTGAGATTCTTCTTTATATGTTTTTGCTTCAAGATAATTCTAAAGCTGTTTTGTTTGTTTTCCAAGATATTGAAGACTTTGAAACCAAAACAAGAAGCACAGTGTCCGTCCGAGAAGGTCAAGGTGTGGTGCTTCTCTGTGGCCCACCACCACACTTTGGAGGTATGGTGGGGGGTAATTTGGTCACACCATTAATATGGTCACTTGGTGGTAAAGAAGGCACATCATGTCTTGAAGACATTAAAATCTCTTCATCAAATCACAAGGATCTTGAACAGTTCCAATCTAAATCATTTTTAAAAGAATTTTATTTTCATGCAGTCATTCAACACACATGGCCTTAAAGAGATACAGCATGGTACCCAGTGTGAGCAACAGGGTACCATGTGAGAGTGACGACTGATGAAGTCTGATGCTTGTAACCTGAATGACAGAAAGGAGACAGTTTCTTTAACCTTCTTTGACTCAGTTTCCTCATCTGTAGAATAGAGACACAAACTGATATCTGTATTGTAGTGCTGTTGTGAATATTGAGTGAGCTACTGAATGTAAATTGATTAGTGTAATGGCTAGTCCTTATTCAGAAAAAAAAGCCGGGATTGTTATTTCATTGTTATTATTGACATCCATGGAACAGCAAATGCCAACATTTCTCTTGGCAACCTCACTTTAAGTATTGGCAGAGGAGAGTTACCACATTAATTAGAAGCAAATTTTGGATGGCACCAAATCTGAATATCTCCTAGCAATGGTGAAATCATGCAGTCAATGCCATTCTCTAGTTTGTAAGAATCTGAATTGACCCATGAATTAACCTGTTTGTTGCCAAAGACCTAAACCACCTACTGATTCTCACCTCATTAGGTTTGCATTTTGTCAAATTCCAAATGATGTGGTAAAATATGGTAGATTCTTAACCAACAGTGAATCTGGAAGAGGCAGTATCAAAATATGCATGGAGTCATTTCATTTGGTACAATTCAATATCATACTGACTGTATTAGAGTATGGATCTAAATACTTCATATGTATTGGAAAATTCTCATAGAAGCTTCATGAGAGGGTTACTATGATTATTGTTTCACAAATGAGAACAATAAGGTAGAGAGAGGTTAAGTAACTTGTCCACAGTAACATAGCTGATAGACAGTGGAGCCAAGCTCCAAATCCAGGCCGTCTGGCTCCTAGAGCAACCCTTTTAGAGTTTATTTCCACCGTGGAATAGGAAATTTTGAAAGCAGATATAACAAATATTTAAAAATAAAATGAAAACAATTTTATCCCTAATATTAAACAAAATCTTATTTATGATTTTTAAAACCTGAAAACATTTTCCCATTAGTTCCATTTTTACACAATCTCATGAAATACTGATGCAAAAAAAAAGGAAATGGATTAGAAGTTAACAATATTTTATTCAATAATATTACACGGTAGTATAACATTATGCTTACTTGAAATATTAGCGGAGAGTTATACTGTTTTCAGCGCTATCTGAGATAAAATAGTCTTATTCTAGAGCAATGAAAAAATGTAATGCTGCTTATTTTTTAACCATAGGAAATTATTTTTTAGTGCTATAACCTAAGATGACAAGATATGCAAAATTATGTCTGTTTTGTGCTGTTGGTCTATGCCATTTTATGCTCTGACTTTGGTCAAAGAATCTTGTCAGAATTGAAGATTATTTTCAACTTTGTTTACTCTAAATGAAGGTAGCAGAAATGTCAAATATTTGTAAATGAATGTCATATATTTTTAAAAGACAGCCAAATAGGAAAAGATTTCCCTTGTTACCTTGTTACTTACCACCATTAAAGTATATGTTGATCATCTAATGCATATAAGACCCTTATTATAACAGTTCTCTCTGCTTAATGCCATGTGATTAAGTCATAGATAGACAAAAACTGCCTTCCATTAAGACCTTTTTAACTGAATAGCTAATGGCTATTACATGCAAGCTATGACAAATTTGTCTGATACCAAATTTGATTATATCATATATAATGCTTTTAGCAGGTTTCCACAGTATTTGTTAATATTGACTTCATCCAGGTATATAGGAATTTTCATCCTGAGAGCTTGAGGGTGTGCTTGGGCTTCCTCATCTCTACAAGGGCAGAAATACTGGAAAACTTATCAAAACTCAGGGAAATATTGACAGACACCCTTTGATCCAACTATATAAAGAGTCATCAATTTATTAGAATAAGAAAGTATTAATAATAGTAACAACGACCACCAATTATTGAGTTGTTACCACGAGCAAACATTGTAAGGACTTTCCATGATTTTCTCATTCCCAATATTCTAATAACTAAGAATAATAATTTTAAAATGAAGAAACCAAGACTCAGACAAACTAAGTAAGTCAGTTTTCAGTTAGTGAATGAAGACAAGATTCTAGTACAGGAATTTCTGACTCCCCCCCCCCCCAAAAAATGCCTTTGGATAGAAAGCTCTGTAGTTAATGGTTAAACCTCAGATTATATATCAGTTTTAACATTCTTAGGCCTCCAGGGTTGCTAAGAGTTATAAAGAGTGTCTTTAACTGGCTCATTTGAAACAATTCCTTATTCTTCCTTTTCCTTCTCACCTTCCTGTGAAGGCGAATTGTGCCAAGAAAGACTTCAAGAATGGAGAGAAACATATTGGTTGGATAACCTTCAAATTGGATTAGTGGACAACTGGTTTGAAATGAGCCAGCTTTACACACAGACATTCTTGTCTTTGTAATTTTTCCTTGGTTTAGGATGTATATATATGTATATTTTTTCATTATTATGTAACACCCATTTATTAGTTACACAGTTCTATATGTCAGAAGCCAAAGGATGATGTGGCTGGTATCTCTACTCACATTCTTGCAAGAATAAAGTCAAAGTCATGACGAGATGGCATTCTTTTATGACAAGTCTGAGGAAGTATCCATTTCCAACCTTACTCAGGTTGTTGGCTGAATACCCTTCATGTCCATTCCTTCTAATAGTTCAGTTTTCTCTAGCCAATATAAGGGAGAAATCATATTAAATGTGTTAATTTCAGAACATTCTGAGTTACTTATATATTTTCTCTAGTGTATTCATAAAAAAAAAAAAACCCTTGGAAAACATTTGTTAACAAGGCAGGCCTATCAGGTACATTTTAATGTGTTTTATAAAACAAAAGCCAAAAAGCAAGAACTATGGGAAAGTAAGAAAAAATATCAAATAGGCTGAATCCTATAAATTTACCTGGGGCGGGGGGAAGCTGGTGGTGGAATGGCTCCAAGAACAAAACAAAAGAAAGAAATGTGTAGGATGGATTTCCCATATACATGATTAGTGGTCACTCAGTGTAATAGAGTAATCAACATAAACCAAACTGAATAGGTGCTTTTTTATTCATGTCTTTTTTTTTTTTTTTTTTTTTCTGAATAGACCAAAGGAGATCTGACTCCAGAATAGGCTTTCTTGTGGATAGTTCCTATCCAATTTTAAAGGTAACTGCAAGTGTACTATTCTAGAAAGAGAGAATTTACAGATGAAGCTTATTCTAAAGGAAAGGCGCCCATAGTGAAAGAGAAAGAAACCTAGGCAATAATGCCAGAACACAAAACTGGCACATTCTGCTTTATCTCTTAGAAATGTGATATTTGGACACAAAACAAGAACTATTCCCTATACTCTGAGGAAAGAAGTATATTTGCTTCCTTAATCCTATTTCTTAACTAGAGATAAACTCCATGAATGTGACTGAATGTATGCCAATAGAGCCATATTAAGCCCTCATTTTCATCTTCCTAAAAAATATAATTCTTGAATATTACAGAGAAAACTGAAAGTTTTGGCTGAACACCACAGAAGGTGCTACAATGTTTATCTGATTGAAACACTTTATACCCTGTTAGACATTGCTTTCCTTTCTCCTAAACTCTCTCATTGGTAGTTTGTGACTTCCCTCATCACCCCACAATCTCCAACAATCCCTTTTATTGACTATTATAGTTATTATCCATAATTTGGATACCCATGTCAGAAAAATAAAGGTCTTAAAAAAAAAGAAAAAAGAAAGAAAGAAAAATACAAGTCTCCTAGTTAGCGTCTTGGTACTTGACAAAACTAAAATTTCCTAGTCAGCTAAAAAGACTTTTCCTTTCTTCTACTAGGTTTCTCGAGGTTTCTGTGATCTCTTCTCTGTATCCAGGTTTATGTGACAGAAAGAGACAATACACTATTTTACTTATTTGTTTGAGGGAGAGGTGACTGAGCCTTGAGATAGACCATGAACTTCATGGCACAGAGGCTTTTCTACTGTGGGTTTTCACCCAGCTCAAGGATGAACTTTCATTTAAAGTGTGTCTTTTAAAATTTTTTCACATTTATTCATTCTTGAGAGAGAGAGACAGAGAGAGACAGAGAGGGGGAGAGAGCACAAGTGGGCGAGGGGCAGAGAAAGAGGGAGACACAGAATCCGAAGCAGGCTCCATGCTCTTAACTGTCAGCACAGAGCCTGATGCAGGGCTCATACCCACCAGCGGTGAGATCATGACCTGAGCCAAAGTCGGATGCTTAACCAACTGAGCCACCCAGGCTCCCCAAGGATGAGCTTTTGTTTAAGAGCCTTGGTCACTTTAACAGAGATTCTGCATAAGTCATCTGCATCACTGAACTCAGCATTTCCTTTGATTTTTTTAATGGACATGAAAACCTTGAAGCCAAAGCTGTTGAATGAATATGAAAATAAGCTGTCAGTAGATCTTCATGGGTGCATTGAGTTAGCCCAGCTTCGCATGAAATTTTCTTTCTTTCTTTAAATTTTTTTTTAATCTTTCATTTATTTTTGAGAGAGAGACAGAGACAGAGTGTGAATGGGAGAGGAATAGAGAGAGAAGGAAACAGAATTTGAAGCAGGCTCCAGGCTCCAAGCTGTCAGCACAGAGCCTGATGTGGGGCTGTAGCTCACAAACCATGAGTTCATAACCTGAGCCAAAGTCAGACACTTAACTGACTGAGCCATCTAGACGCCCCTGAAATTTTCTTTAAAAATGACAGTGTGAAAGAATGGTACAGGTTGTCTAAAATAATTAAGATCACCTTCACTGTGAAATTATAGTTTCATCATACCTAAAGTAAAGCACATTCTTTCCCTTTATTGTCTCAATATAAAACTCTCATTCC